TATTTTAAAAAGAAGGCGCTTCGCGGATTCTTGTCCTAGAGGGACGCATTGTTTTTCTATCGTGTTTCTGCGGACAACTATGGAACTTTCGCAAAATCGATGTAATTTGATTGTGAATACACCCTGTATAAAGTGTCCTTCACATATCGTCGAACTTCAAAGTTACAGCACACTTCATAAACATAAATATATATTTTTTTAATTTTTCAAGGAAAAACTTACAGGCTACTGTAATACTATCTACAAATCTTCTAGATTCATCTTGCGTCGGTTGTCTGTCCTAAACAAACTGCCTTCTCAAACGATTAATGAAATTCCATTTGAAACCGCAAAAATCCTTAAAAAGTCCAAAGCTTCTAAATCTAATATTCCAAAATCAATCAGTTTATCGGTAAAGGGAATGCTACGGTGAATATCAGGAAATGATTCAAGATATTCTTAAGGGCGGATCCTATCGTTAACTTAAAAAAGATCCTATGTCATCTATCTAACGAAACCTTAAAACTGATATTAAGGCTTCTTCTCTATCAGAATCGGGGGAAAAATCTGTCACCCCTCATGATTCTAAAATTCCTCGTCTCTACGGACTCCCTAAGACTCACAAACCCCTTCGACCTATTGTCAGCACCAATAGTTTTCCAAAGTATTCTCAAACAAAATATCCACCTTTTTACAAAACTTCTGGATTCTTCCTGCGTCGGTTTTTGCTGCTTTTTCATCCTATTGGCTTCTTCAGAGCTTGACTGAAACTGAAAAAGTATTACAGTAGCCTCTTCGCTGGAACATATTTTTCTTATAATGGTCAAATTTTTTAACTAACATCGGGAACAGCTATGGGTTCTTCATTATCACCAGTCATGGCGAATATATTTATGGAAACATTTGAGACGAAAGCCATCGACACCTTTCATCTAATAACATTATGGAAATGCTATGTCGATGATACTTTTGTTACTTGGCCTCATGGTCAAGACTCCCTCCAAGATTTTCTCAGCCATTTAAACTCTGTACACTCTAACATACGATTTACCATTGAATTAATCATCGGTTATCAACTCTTTTGTTTGCAGAGCCTTAAAACTTAAGCCGGGTGGCTGAACCCAGAATGAAAACATTTTAGATCTGCTCTTCTGTTTTCTAACAATGTCACTGGTTGTTAAGTTACTACTACTTACTGGAAACATTCTATTTATATTGCATAAGTCTTTAACATAGAAAAACACAAATATTCAAATTCAATGGTAAATAAACTATATAGGTTTGACGTCGACGGGAAATTTTAAAAAATTTACTGCATAGTATTAGAAAGTCATCTGAAAATTTGAAACTCATCTGATTAATTCCACCGATTTATTTCTAAAAAAACTGCGCTGAAAATAATAAAATGAAATAAATAAGAAATAACAATAATAAAAATTAAACATTTTTCCTCTTAGGGTAAGCTATGTAAAATGTTTCGGGTAAATAAACAATTAAATTTATAGAATTATGTTCAACCTTGTACGCCGCAGCTAATCCAGGCTGCAGTACCTTGACGCACTTGCGTAGAGTACTGCCGATTGGTGCCTGAAGATTGGTTTTTGATTGCTGACAAAAAAGATATGAATCTTCTTTTACAGGACCGTTCGTTTTCCCATTATCAAATCGTTCGGAACAAATAATGATCGTTGATAAGCAAGTTACTGCAAAGTGATAAAAGTATAATTAATTTTAATGACCGTAAGAAGCGTTATTTATTTTTGTGTGCTCGTAGGCATGTCAACCATCTTTTGAATGTATAAACAAATACGCAATCTTGCGTATGTTTTAATAAACTTATCCTCCCATCTTATCAACTCTTCTCATTATGACGATAATGATTTTTATTTTTTCCTTATTTTAGTATTTGGTCTCGGAATTAACTGAATAATTGATTTGATTATTTAATTCTAACCTCCAGAGAGTTCTATTTGACTTGAGCTTTTTCCAAGCTTCTCTATTCGTTATTGTTCTTCTGCCAGTGTAAGGTCCTTGATCTGATCTAGAAATTTAACAGGAAATCTGCCCGTCGTTATCGTGCCGTATATTTGTCCCATTTTTTAATGGGATGCATTTACCAAAAATGCGTCTCTTGATCTTCCAAAGAGTATAACGCAGCTAAAATTTTCTTCACAAACGCTCTAATTGTTGTATGCTGGTTTCCACTGTTTCCTAAGAATGTCACTGGTTGTTGAGTTACTACTACTTACTGGAAACATTCTACAATATTTATATGGCATAAATTTTTAACTTTGAAAAACACAAATATTCAAATTCAATAGCAAATAAACTATATAAGTTAGACGTAGATGTAGTTCCAATTTCGTCGGAAAATTTTAAAAATATTACTGCATAGTATTAGAAAGTCATGTGAAAATCTGAAAGTCATGTGATTAATTCCAGCGATTCATCAATCAAATAAAATAAATAAGAAATAACAATAATAAAATTTAAGCATTTTTCCTCTCGGTTTGTGAGTCAGTGAGCTTAGTAGAGTGATTGCTATCAATTTATCGGTAGAGGCATCAAGAATTTAGTCGTCGATGTTATTTTGGATAAACGATTCGGTGGAACTTTCATTAATTTAAAATAGTCTGGCGTCCTTCGCACACCTTGACCGAAAAAAAAACATTCACCGAGAAACGTAATATTGCGTTTCCCGAGTCCGATACACAACATACAGGTTGTCCAGCTTTTGATTTTTCTGGGATAGAAAGACTCGGTTCTCACAACACTATCGTTCATTATTTTTGTGTTTCTGTATAATATAAAAAATGGCTTCTATATGATGATGATGAATGACTGGCATATTTGAATTTTGTTTTTCACATTTTCGAAGAATTCATCGCCAAATTTCTAAATGAAAACACTCATTTTAGGTGTGTTGTTATTTTAAAGCATTCTAATTACCAGTTTATATATTTGTTTTGCTAAACGTTAGTTTGGTTAAATAAACAGATTTCCGAAATTGCATTTTCTGTAACAGGAGGTCCAAAAAAAAATCTTTATACAGGCTAAAATACTTAAAGAGGAGATAAACTGAAGGGCTGGTGATGAGAGACACAAAGTTTGAAATAGCTAGAAATTTGACATTCCATTGCCGATGGTGGATTTTCGAACAGTAGTGTGAAGCGCCATCCTTGATCTATGCGTCAGTGGTGTCGGTTGACTTTTTAAAATCTCTTCTTGTTATAGAGAGTTTGAATGTAATAAAAATTTCCATTTTTTGACAAAGCATTTTAAAATGATGAAGATTACTGTAAAGTTCTTTCTCTATGTCAATACCTCAGAACGTATTTGCCATTTTTTGATACATTGAGTTGCTACTGTTTACAAATCTTCTAGTTTTCTCTCACGTCGGTTTTATATAAATCAAAGTTGCTGACGTTTCGCCAATCATCTTGTTGGCTTCTTCAGAGCTTAACTGAACTCGACAGTTTCAGTATATAACATTCGGTTAAGTTAAGTTAAGCTCTAAAGAAGCTAACAGGCTGATTGGCGAACTGTCAGCAAGTTTGATTTATACAGGCTGTCCAAATAGTATGTTGTTTTAGAAGAAAATGTTAAATACAATAGTTATAGATAAGACCAAAAGAAATATTTTAAATTTATTTTTAAATATATAAAACGATTAATAAATATGTGGGAAACTAAACTTATTTACTACTAAATGAAACACTTTGTATATTATTACATTAGTAGATACTCCTTTTTATATTCAATCACCTATTTTAGGGTTGTTGTGGTGTGTAATATTCATTTTCGTAAAAAAATAAAATTAAACTCCCTGTATATTATACTTTCATTGGTTACTTCTATTAACGCTCTTTCAATTTTATTAAGCATATCTAAAGTCAGTATTTCTTGAGGTCTACAAATTTTTACGAACTCAATTTCAAAAATTTGTCAAATTAAGAGAAAATATCTCAGTAAGCCAAGAATAATAAAACTAAATAGGTTAATTTTTAATTTTGTGAAAAAAAATTATGCTTTCTTCCCATTAATTTAAAAGTTCTGCCTTTCTTAAAGCCCCAAATATTATTTAACTATAAAATGTGTTCCATTTGATTTTTTCACTAAAATGAATATTTTTCATTTTGACTCACCCTGTATAGTCGATTTGAACTAAGTGCTAGACAAATATAGGATATATGACTATCAGTTTATAAAATTGTTGGAATAATAAAATGACAGCTACCGGAAACGGTATCTCAAGTATATGGTATTAAACACAGAGCGTTTTTGACTAAAAAATGGCCTTAAATCCGAAAACGATGCCATTCGTCGTAACAATGTTTTTCCCCGTGTTAACTCCAATGTCCTCAAACTTATAGAAACCGAAGTTTTTAACATTCCTCCACAAAGTTGGGCAAATTCTCTTAAACATATAGAAAAAGCAGAACAATCGTATATCCATATTGCAAATAATATAGAACAAATAATAATTAGAACAGGCTATGCTAACGATAGTGATACTGATATATTATGTGATTAATTTTAATTAAATTAAGTAGTAGTAATAAAAAGAATTTGTAATTTTATTTTAGATTTAAACATAAATACATACATATATAAATAAATATTGTTTAGTATCGTTCCTAACAAAACCCCAAATAATTAAATTCTGAGCAAAGTACGGATCTGTTCGGCCTTATTTCATTCTTACTGCCTGCCCGGGTCTTTCCTTAATTCGTATCAGTTAGTTACTTTCTTATATCTATGAATAGACTTTACCTCTCCTTTATTGAACTTAAATTCTCACAACAATTAAGGTTTTATTGTCATTTTTCGGTATATATAGTAGCAGGTAGTTTGTAAATATTACAATTGTCATGTGAAAATATATAATATGCAGTTCAAGATTTGTGTGTATTGTGGATCGTCATATTTATATATTCCCAATTTTGAGATCATTTTAGCTACAAGTGTAATTATTTACCAAAGCGGAATTACATAGATTTCAATATATATCTTGGTTTCAGACTGAAAACCGAGCACTGAGACTGAAAGAAGAATACATCTCCGCAGATTCTCTAAACGTGGTTGCCGCTTCTGCTAGTGCTTTTAATAGCGATGGTCCAGAACTACCGGACGATAGCAATTATCCTCTGGCACTACAAAACTTCGAAACTACCGACGGTCGATTGACTTGGAACTACTTTGACGAACTCGGATACATTGCCCGAGCAGGATTGAAGCAGGGCGAAGATCCTTACGTTAGGAATAGGTTCAATCAGCAAGCCAGCGACAGTTTGCCCAGCAATCGGGAGATACCGGACACGAGGGACCCAGCGTAAGTGCAACCAGAGAAAAGGCGTTCCATATAAACCGGGAAATTGGGACAATAGCCAATAATTTTGCTTTAACACTCTTTTTGTCCACGGGGAATCGTTTGATTTTACTGCTTTACCGTAAAATTCAAAATTTGCCCTTTTTGCAGATTCTTTTCGCACCCTGAACATTTTACAAAATAATAAATGGGCTGACTTTTTCGTTTAAACCTTTTGGTTTTATTTTAAATATTTAGTAATTTCGCATTATTTTAAAGTCGGTATATATTTGTAATTGTGGATTTCAACAATTTTTTATTATTTTTCAATATAATCCCCCTTAACTTCAATACACTTATTACATCTCTTTATTAACAACTTAATCCCTTTAAAAAAATATTCTTTTGGTTTGTTCGCAAAATGAGCTAAAACAGCCTCTTTTTGACTCAACTTCATCGTTAAACCGCCGTCCACGTAAGTCCTTTTTCAAATAACAGTCGGTGTGGGGCCATATCTGGACTTGGACTATAGGGAGGATGATCTATCTGTTGGAACCCACACTCTAAAATGGTGTCTTGTGCAACACCAGCAGTATGGACAGGTGCATTATCGTCGTGCGCCTCTGGTCAGTTTTCCTCGACGTTTTACACATATGCAGTCTCGCAATTTATGTAATAATGTTGCGTAATATTTACCATTGACAGTGGTATTAGTTTGTTCACATTCCCAAAAGATCGTGGCCATGACCTTTTTTGTTGACTGGCAGAGTCTGAATTTTCTTGGAGGTGCTTCACCCTTACGACGCCACTCCATTGATTCTTTTTCGATAGAGTCATAATAGAGAGCCATAGTTTCATGTCCCGTCAAAAAAGTTTCTATCACAGGCATCGGTTCCGACCCACAGAGTTCCAAATAAGATCGCACACACTCGACACGGCGTTGTTTTTGAATAGCCGAAAGGTTTTTAGGAACCCATCATGCACTAACCTTATGCGTACCTAAATGATCATGCAGGATTCGACGAACACTTGTATCAGAAAGCTAGTAATTTCTGAGATTTCCTTGACCTTTAAACGTCGATCATTCAGTACCACCTCTTCCGCATACGCAACAATATCTTCCGTTATGACCTCCACTGGTCGACCAGTTCTTGAATCATCATCAAGCGACTTCTGCCCCATTCGAAAACGAAATTTTTGGCGCTAACTTCGTATATCTACTAAACTCTTGATATCAAATTTCGAAACACAGGCGTCTGTCATATGGAAAAATTAATTGTAGTTGTTCTGAATTGTTAAAGACACTATTAAAAAACTTCTTTGAAATTAAGATATTATTAAAAAGAAATACTTTCATCTTCTACGTTAACGTTTTGGCAATGTACTGGGCTATCCTCAGGACCATTAAAGTGTTTCTCCGATCAAGGAAATTATTCTGGTTTTTGACACATTATTTTAGTTTTTTTCTATCTGTTTCAACAGGGCCTAAACTTTCTGCCCGTTTAAAATAGACGCAATTGTCATGCATTGACAATTTTAAATTTATATATAAGATTCAGAATATTATTATTGATCCTATTGCAGTAGCATTTTTGTAGGATGATCTAAAAAAAGATCGAAATGTCGGCTAAGGAAACACCTTTCAAAATCCTTTGAAAATCAAATTGGGTTAAGCACATCATATTGATAACATTCAATATTAATGTTATCAGTTCAGAGGCATTAGAGAAGTTCAAAGAAGTTCCTTTTGTTTCTTTTTTGAAATCGTTTATTTTAATAAACCACAAAAATAGTAAAAGTAATATCCAGATCTCTAAAGAGTGCCTATGAAGGTCTGGCATCGAGATGAATATTATATACAAACATTTTAATGCAACTACAGACTCCATTTGCATGCTATCAACTAATAACTTATCTAATCACAAACTGAAGCTATCAGGGGCTACAGGACGTTTCAGTGCTAATTGATTGTAAGACACTAAAGCCCTAGTGTGCTGCTAGATGTTCAAAATAAATTATCTTGTGAACTTTTCTCGTATTCATGGATGTAATATTGCAAAATATATTGTAAAACAATTTATTTTGCTGTAATTTCTAAAATAATTTTATTAACTTTTTCTTCATATAACCATTCAGTATTAATCATATTTTGAAAGACTTGTGATTCGCTAAAGTGAGTTTCATAACATTATTTTTTGCTTGTGTTAATTTATAATTTATTTTAGCGCCATCAGCTCTAAAGTAAAATACCTGTGTTCTGAGTTTGCAAGGTTTAACAATATGTAAATTAAAGATAGCAGTGATTCCAGAACTGAGTCCTGAGACACCCCGTGCGAGTTGATCATAAAGTCCCTTTTACTGTCCTGTATGTTAAAATACGGTCAAATCTACAAATAGCACTAATTTCTTATCCGGTCTCTTATATAAAATTTGTTAAATCATAAGTATTCGATAAAGTGTTTTGTAAAGACTTACTGAAATTTTAACACTAATTTTGAGAATATACTTATTAAGGAGATTGATCTATCTTTATTCATGTTATCTTTTTCACCTGATTTGAATATTGGCGTTAAGATACCTTTAACTCTTTACTACTTTAACTTTTTAAAGTTTTCAAAATAAAATCTTCCAAATTTATAATATCAATTTCAGGAACCTCGTCATTACCCGGTGATGAATTACGTTTTAATTCTAATACAATTTCATTAACATCATTAACATCTGTCAATTCAAAAGTAATTAAGATGTTACCATTTGCTATTTCACTAAATACGTGGTACCTGATTTCAGATGTAATTTCTTTTTATTTAAATCACAATTTTTTCCCTACTTGTAAAATGTTTGTTTAGTTTCGTTTGCTCGCAATGTCAGGAATGTTTTTATATACCCAGAACAGTAGACGAAGCCCATAGCTAGCTTTCTGTGTTAATATATATTTTTTTAAAAATGCTCTGCCGAATATTCAAGTGGCGCAGTCGGAACGGATTTTCTGTGTTTGTGTGGTGGACAACAAACCAGAACCTTCTGTGAGTTGAAAATCGCCAATCGTGGAAAGTTTCTGAAACTTTTGGACACTCCGCTACGTGAGTTTTTAATCCTTCAGCACACAGAAACATCAGCAAGAAAAGCAGAACTACGGCCAATGCAAAGGTACAACTCGCATGTGAGGAGTTTGAAAATTGAGCCAGAAAGGAGACGGAAAAATACGAAAAATTGCCATTTCCTTTTGCCCCTCCGTATAAGGTCACTTGAAGGGATAGTTTAAGGCTCGCATTGCACGCGATTGGGTTAGAAGAACTAATCAATCAAATCAATTGATGATCGATTCTGAATATCTCACATTTTCATTAATTGAAGGTTCAAAAATTGCTTTGAATGTTCAAGGTCTAGTTTTAATCTACATTTCAATTTTCTAATTACCATGCTTAAACATCTAGACTTTTTGGAGTTTTATATGATCTGACTTTTCAACTTTTTAACTTTTTAACTAAATTTAACATGGGTAACCCAATGTTAATTTATAACAAACACACGTTTATTCATTGTGTAGATTTAAGTCAAATGATTTACCATTCATTCAACATTCAGAATGCATTTAAAATAATTATATAAACGAATCATATTTCTTATTGTGGACTTGCCAAAATTTTACTTTTAAGCACTGAATATCTAATATAAATTTCAGTGAAAGAACTTGACAATTTTCATCCACAAGTTCGCAAGGAACGAGGACTAATTAACGTGGTCGGTAAAATAAATAATTGGCAATTTGGAACTCTCAACGCTGACTAAGAAAATTATTATAAAGCAGCAATACAAAAACTCGAGAGAAAAGCGAAAATAACTTAGGTAAAGAATTAGAACTACAAGTATCTTTACCAGAGAGTATACTTAATAACTATAATAAAAGTATGCGAAATTAAGTGAAAACCACAAACTGTGGTTTAAAAATATTCCAAAGTACAGTATTGATGACGATAAATCCTTTACAAGACTATCTTAGTTTTCATGAAATTATAACGCAATTAAACTTAGATTTGCCAAAATATTAGATAACCTAGAAGACGCCATTGTTTGCAAAAATCAATGCCCGTTGCAATCGCATTTTACCGACTTCAGACTTTAATAAAATGCTTATATATCTAGCATCAATTTATAAAGAAAATCAAATTCCCCAATTTAAAAATATTTTATCCTTTTACCAAATTTTGGGAACGTAGGTAAGGTTTGTAAACTCTTTGCAGTCCATGTACTAATTTTAAGATACCAATTTTAAGATGCGAAATAATTTCCTTTTACCAAATTTTACGAAGAATCCAAAATCAATCGATTTTTATACTTCAATACTCTTAAATGGCACAAGCGGAAAAGAAGAGACAATTCACTGCAAAAATATGTCCCATCATTGAAGGAATCTACTCTTGTAAAGAAGAAACTCATCCCCGCGATGTATGCGTGGAGAACTTATTTGACGACATTGGAACCGAAAACGAATAGAACAGGAAAATGAACCTGTCAGAAGCAATTGTAGAAAAAATTACCCAAGATTCATTTCTTGATGTGTCACAGAAACCTGAAAAACTGCTAATTAAATGTAACACCGACCGATATATGCAAATCGAAGTACCAGTACTGATTAAGATGCCAAACGGTCGGATAGATAGAAATGAAGACAAATTCTTCAAATCCAATACGGAAAACCTATCGTTTTCCATTAACGCTATGAAAGTCCTGAATACTCCCGGTAGTTCAAAAATTACTATTGACGAAATATACTACCTAAGGTCTTAGCAGAAAGAATAATTTCCATGGAACCAGCGAAAGAAGAAAGAAAGATATTCTATGTTCTTGGTAAACGGACAAAAATCGAAGAAAATTGCATCTAAATCAGAGGAAAACCGCCCAGAAGAAAATTTTGAATTTTGAAGTCAAGGAGGGAGGAGTTATATATGGTCTGTTGATAGATATAAGAAAGTGACCAATTGCTTTTGAATGGGATTATTCCAAGCGTGGTCATTAACATATAATGCAACAAGATCATTACCTAAAGTTTCGGAATTTACATTCAGGTTAAATTGTGGTCCGTAATAGAAAATAATTTTATACCTACCTGTGTTTAATATTCTTTGGTTTGGTATACTACTTAGTTTAAGTTTATTAGTAATCATTCTTATTTCGTGTGTAATACAGCGTGTGTTGAATCGTGTGCGAATTATGCAAAATATGTGCGAGTCTAGTGTATCTCAGGAGATTCTCCGGCCCAAATGTAGAAAACACTATTCTATTGAAACTAAGGAAGTTATAAACAATGTTTATTTGACTCTCATTGAACGTGGTGCCAGCAAGCATCTTTAGAAGTAACGGCCACATTGTCGAAAATTCTAACATCAACTGTAAGGAAAATTGTGAATAATCCCATTTCCACTAGGAAAAAAAGAAGCGATACTGACGTTTTCTCGAGTGTAGACGAAAGTGATCAAGAGATAATACGGCGTAAAATTTGCGAGTTATACGAGGAACAAAGCTTATGGATGTGTGTTCAATACATGGGTTTTAGATTTAAAAAATTGACAAAAGGCAAGTTTTAATGGAATCTTTTAGAATTCGGAAATGGTGACTGGAATATCTAGAAAAAAAAATAGAATTTACAGAGAACAACAAAGGCCAATTATTTACTTGGATGAAACCTGGTTCGACACTTACGATATACCTGAAAAGGGTTGGCTTGACTCACCTGATAAGTGTAAAACAAATGGACTTTCTCTGTCTGCGAAAAATATTAAAGATTCTTCTCTAGATTACCATGAAGACACCACCGCTGATTTATTTGATAGTTGGTTTAAAAACAAACTAGTTCCAAACATTCCTCCTAATAGCGTCATTATAATGAACAATGCAATGCAGATGACACCAAAGCAACAATCCAAAACTACATGTATAATAACGACATTTATTTTCACGAAGATTATACCAAAAAACAATTAATTGAGGTTCCACAAAGCTTGAACCTACAAAAAGAATACGTCTCTGATAATTATGCAAAAAATCTAGGGCATACAGTTTTAAGACTTCCACCTTACCACTGTATACTGTATATCTGTCATTCGTCGTAACAATGTTTTCCCCGTGTTAACGCCAATGTCCTCAAACTTATAGAAACCGAAGTTTTTAACATCCCTCCACAAAGTTAGGCCAATTCTGTTAAACATATAGAAAAAGCCGAACAATCGTATATCCATATTGCAAATAATATAGAACAAATAATAATTAGAACAGGCGATGATAGCGATATGATAATTTTAAGTAATTTAAGTTGCTAATAAAAATAATTCGTAATTTTATTTTAGATTTAAACATAAATACATAAATAAATAAATATTGTTTAGCATCTTTCCTGTTCGGCCATATTTAATTCTTACAGTTTGCCCGGGTCTTTCCTTAATTCGTATCAGTTAGTCACTTTCTTATATCTATGAACAGACCTTACCCAGAACAGTAGACGAAGCCCATAGCTAAGTGAAGATATCACCTCGCTGACACCACGTTAAAAGACTTAAAATTCGCTTATTTTATTTTAAAACTGCTCTTAATTATTCCAGCCTCTGTATCGATTTTTAAAAAACTCTCCCGAATTTGGAACATTTAAGTAATTGTTCGAAATTTGTATTTATAAAAAAAAACATTGATTAAATCTTCACTGCTTTTTCCTATTTTCATTCGCTCGTTGCCATTTATTTCGAAAATACGGTTTATTTCAAATGACCGAATCCAGTTCCCGGGTGGTTTCCGAGTGTTCTCCGCAAAGTTAAGCGATATCGAAAAACCTCCGGTCCAAAGTTTTAAAAGAAAAATGAGGGTCTAATTTCAATATAATAACTCGCGAACTTTATGGGAAATATTAGGAGCTGCGGCTCTCAAGCTTTGATGGATTTCTTTAGAAGTGGACTTGAACAAACTTTAAATGTTTTTAACTTCGTTAAATTGCTTGCTCTGCGTGGACGTTGTTGACGGTTTAGCACTATCTAAATTGCTACGCATTAACCATTTCGTAACGTACAGAACTTTCTTGGTATCTAAATATAGGCTGATATAAAAAATAACTCCACGTCCGATTGATGTAACTGAGAATGTGAAAATCGGCGATACATCGTAGCGAATTCCTTCGGCGAGAAGAAATTTATAGTGTACCAATGCAATAAAGTTTGTTTTACTTTCAACTTTTCAATAGGCGATGGGCAAACATATGTGATAAACAACATACCTATTTCACTTTCGTTTAGACTCAAGTGCTTTATATCCGGATCTGGAGAAGGATTATCGAGTCGATTTATGGGTTGTCTGTTTTTGTGTATTTTATCCCGGAACAATAGGGTATCGCGAATTGAAGATCGAGGATTAGAAATACGAAAATTCCCTAACGATTGTTGTAGGATCATGCGGGCAATAAAACCCAGATTATAATGTGCTGGCGTTCCAAAATATATTATTTACCATACTTGCAGGTGGACTTGAAATTCTTACAAAAAAAAGGAGAGGAAAAATTTATGATTGCAATCAGTAACAAAATATAAATAAATCAATAAAAATTATATAACCAGCAAACTAGGAATGTGTGTTTGTACTTATAATAAAAAAAAATCGCAGATCACAAATTTCATTGTGTGGTGTGTATTCATAATCGTTAACATTTTATTAAAAGAAAAAACAATATATTACAAGTATAGGTAACAAGAGGTATAAGGAATTTGTTTCAGAGAGTCAGGGGTGAGCCGGTGGTGTCTGATTATGTTACGATTATTGAAATAGGGATACGACGTTTTGGGGTCCAGTTAGCCATCCTCAGGACATCGAAATTCTTTTTTGTTCGGTTGACCCGTCTTTGACCTATTTTTTTTTTAAAGAAAAATCATCACAACGTTTCGTCCAAATTCCTGACATCTCCAGCTTTCGCAAGAGTAACTTCAAGTTTAAGCTATTTCGTTCATTTTCGACTGAGGGGGATGCGGAATTTGCATATAACGTTATTTTTTAGTATAATCGATAACTGAACGATAATTGATCAATAAACCTGATTTTCGGATATTTCTAGAGTACAGGGTTATGCCACGTTTTGGCAGGATTGAAAAATATTGACCTAGGTCGAAAATTTTTGTGGGTCGTGATTTTTTTAAAATTGTTTTTTTTTTTAAGCAACTTCTTATTTTTATGGAAAATAGAAGTCAATAAGATCTATCTTTGAATAACAAAATATTCCCCCTACCTTTTACCGTTTTGTTGTAATTAATTTTTCCATGCCTTCATAAAAATTGTCCCTGAGGGTGAACGGTACCACCAATGATTTTTCACTACCGTTTAATAGAGGAAGAGTATTCTAAATTTCAACCTCGTGCGAGATATAAAATATCAAAAATTGGTTATCGATTTTTCGGCCATTTTTCGACCCAAAATGGGATTTTAGGATAATTTTTCGAAAGGGGATAAAATTTTGTTGTTCTCGACGGTCAAAAATCCGAATTCGATAACATTTTTTGAAAATATCGATAATTTATCGATATATCCCATTTTTACCTATATTTTTACGCACTGTGCCAAAAATATTGATTTCGATTGAAAATTTTCATTATATTATTATAGCCGACAAAGCGCATAAAGTATTATATATTCGCTGGAAACATTATAAAATTGCATTATTAGATAATCAACTAATTAAGAAGTAAATAATAAAAGGCGCAGATTTTGAATTCTTGGTTATTATGATGATTACAATGTCGATTATATGCAAAGATTCTTGTTTCCAAATAGCTTGGGGTTTATTCGATGCCTACTGCATTGCATTTTATTCAAGGAATTCTATATACAGGGCTAGTCAAAAGTTGCGCGACGGCTATATATCTCAGGAACTAATAGACTTAAATTTATGAAATTTAATATAGGCGACATTGCTAAGTTATAAGGCTTTCTTATTTTAAATGAGAGATAATACGTAAACTTAAATAATAAAAACTATTTAAAAGTAAAAGAAAAATGTACTTATTTTTTATAAATGATTTAATATCGATTCATCCATAACACGTTTTATTTAAGTTTACCATTTCGTTAAAATCATTATGTATGTCATTCAAAAATTAAATTTTAGTTTATTGATTATTGATTGATGATTAATTATTTTCCTTTTTGTCATTTCTGCCAAAACTGTTGAATTTGGGTACATCCTAGGTTACATGAAAAATACTTAGAATTTTAAAAGTAATCCAAAAATGGAATAAAATGGTACCCTTTCTATTTAAAATAACCAAGTTTGGTAGTTTAGGAAATATCCATAAATGTGGCAACGTCGCATATATCGCAACTGGCTTCAGCCTAATTAGTAATCCCCGCATACTAGATTTCATTAGGTTTAGGTTATAAACAAATCGAATAACTTGTCGGGAAATGATGCCATCGATGGGGGTGCTATTTTTTGACGCATCAAAATGAAAACCTGTATACGATCACTGGTACGGGAGATAAATATTAGGGGATTATTAAGACAACGTTAAAATAGACAAACTTCCACTCGGAACTAAGTTGGGATGAAATGAAATGGGGGCAATCATTAATAAGAAATCCGCTTTTATAAAAAAAATCTCGACTTTTGCGGTAGCCTGCTGTAAAATTGTTTTTTCTGTTTTATAGGTACGTGTTGGATTTATCGAGTTTCTCCGTAAATCCGATTTTACTTTTGACATAAAGTGGTCATTTCGGCGATTACCGGGACTTGATTTTGGGTCCGTTTCTTTTTGCTTTAATTGCAGACGGTTTTTTGCGTTTCTCTTTTTGATAACATCAATTAAACAAATAAGCGGCAATAAACGGAATTTTTTCGCAGATGTCGGAGCAGACGGTGGAGAACAGATCTCCCTGCTACTAGCGTAATTATTACCTTTCACAACGAAGCAAGATCCACCCTTCTTCGCACCGTTGTAAGGTATGGTATGTTTGTCCCCATCTTTGCACATAGGTTAAGCATAAATTCATAGCTGTTCAGATAAGTCTGGGTCGATTTCAATTAAAAAAAGGGATAATTATTTTCAAAACAAACAAAATATTTCAAAAATTGGCTGTCAAAACCAGCATTAAGAAACTTCATACTTTGAAGAAGTTAAAACTAGAAATAGTGATCGATTCCCTTTTAATTTATTAAAATTGGGCAGCAAGTGCTAATATTGTAATATTTTACTGGCAAAAGATGATACTTAGAGATACTTAGACATTTTGTTACGGTTCTTCAAGCTCTAGCAATACTAAAAAGTGCCCTGGTCATCCCTGTTTATAAAAAGGGCAACCCGATAACATGATAATTACCGCCGTTTCTCCATTTTAAGTATTGTTACATAAACATTTTTGAAAAATTTTATATGATAAACTTTTTTCCCTCGGCTTCCGTCTATGATTTTAAATTGCATTGGGATGCATAGATCTTTAAAAACATGTAGGTATACAATAAACATGGAAATAACGAGTTTACGAAAGTTTTTGGCTAGGTCAATGGTGACTGAGTGTTTTAAAAAAATAACAGATTGTCCCTTCGAGAACTTGTTAATTCATCCAGTTTTAGGAGACTGTAAAATAACTGCTAAAATTGAAAACGTAATTTTTCAATTTTAAAATCTAGAGCTCCCCAGGGTAATGTGAATATACTTTCATAGGCTTAGTTTTCCCATATAGTGACGATTCAATTGCTAAATGGAATAAATGTCGTCTAACTCTTCTCGATAACATACAAATTATACTTTCTGAATTAACAAAATGGTGCAAAAACTGTAGTAACACAGTTTGTATTGAAATTTCAACTATAATGAGTTCCGTTAAATTTGTATGTTGATTTTGGAGGCCGTATTGTTAAAACCCAAGAACTTATCAAATTTATAGATGATGGTAGTGAACATATTAACTCTGTTGGTCTAAAACTCAATAGACATTTCCTTTAAATAAACCTTCACACCGCAAAGTGTTCTCAACGATCTCCTTTAACATTGCGATCTGCTGACAGACCAGCGATGTCGTGAGAGTTCTCTTTCCGCAAAAAAGAATAGAAAATAATCAAAATATTTACTGCAACTTCTATCTATTTACTTACCATGGAAATGTTCACTAAAAGTTAGTAGGAGGTATTCGGTAAGATAATTCCACCAGTCGTTATTAAAAAATCAAAAATGATTTTTTGACATAATTCATCCGTTGCCATGGTGATCAGCCAAAGAAACACCTTTTGATTGGTTAAAAATTACCATAACTATACCGCAAGAAATAGTATTGAGCAACATAATCGTGAATATTTTAGACAATCACCATCATCGCAGCACATTTTTATATAAAACCACATTTTTGTTTGTGTCACAAATAAAATAACATTAATAGAAAAATTAAAATATTTTTGGTTTCGTTTCTTTGAATGTATTCTTACCTTACTTTGTCTCCCATTTTTGTTGATTGTTGTTGATTGATTTTGTTTCAGTGTATTGAATCGGAGTCCAGAACGTTTGATACACGAAATCGTTTTAGTGGATGACTTCAGTGACAATCGTAAGTAACGACGTCATTGCTAAGGAACCTTATATCTTTCATCTTGAACTCGAGACAAATAAAATGTTGGAATATGCAATATATATGCTAATAAAATGTGATATGACCGCCTTTTTATAGGGCGCATATAAATTATGCGTCTGTAAAATTTCCAGCAAATAATTTCACATATTGCTGCATTCAGACCGAGAATTTCTTAAGTAGGTGGGCTGTTAAGCTGTTCAATCTGAATACCCTGTAAACACGAAGGCTGATTTTAATTTTTTTTTTAACAAATTACTGATGTCATTAATAAATAAATAAATTACCTAGCCCTCTCAAGAGTAGTTTGAAAACTGTTTTTATCACATTTTTATAATTTGTGTTATTACTTATTACATCTTGTAAATCGATGTATACCACCAGGAAATGAATAAATGAACTTGAACGTTTCAAAGGATGAAACAGTTTAGTAAAGTTTTAAGTATCCATCTTTTCATGCTGTAACACAACTCTCGTAGCAATTTGCTATTCACATCTGAGAATCTCATGTAATACAACGTAATTTCAACGATTTAATGAATTAATAAACATTAAACAAATGACAGAGTTCAATCAAAAGAATCAAAGGGCTGTTCATTTTCGGAGTATTCGGAGCAAATTAGGAGTGATCTTTAAAATTACCGATTTACTAATAATAATCCTATTGCTTTTTTAAAAATGTTGCATTACTTCTTTTTTTCCAAAACCGTAGAAGATATAGTAATAATAATAATAATAATAATAATAATAATATAAATAACGATAATAATAATAATGATAATAATAATTTAAATTTATTAAAAAAACCTGAAGTAAATAAATGAAATCAAATAATGGGATAAATGATTCTGGTTGCAACCCAAAAAAAAAAAGAAAAAAAATCAGCAACTAATATTATGATAAAAATATTAGTAGGTTATGAAACAATATACCAGCAAGGGCAATATAAATTTGAAAAAAAAGTTATTAAGTAAATTAGCCAAGAGAAAACACTGAAAATTATTTTGGAGCTTCTGAAATAGACACCAGGGGGCGTAATTGTTTTCTTAACTTTTAAAACTCGGATCCTACAAAATGTATAATATCAACCATAGTTGCGGTTACAGTTACAGTTATAGTTTCAGTACTGTCTTAAAGCTGAGAAAATTTCATATCATTTTTGTTCAATGATTAGAATTTTTTCTGAATAAATGCAACGATACGGGTTTTTATTGTCATTAAGTAGGAACCATTAGCCCAGTGAAAACCACATCTGAATATCTTTATCCTAATCTAAAATACGAACTTAAAATTCTTGATCATTATAAATGAATTATTACTGCCAACGAAGAAGTTCTATTGATTTTTTAAATGGTTACGTTAACAGTTAATAACATTATTTGGTCTACAACAATTCATCAGTGACCGAGTTAGTGACTAAATGTTATTGTAAATGAAAAAATAAGTGATAATACTAAATATTTGAAAATAGCAAAATATGTCATTACGTCAAAATATCACCCACGGTGTAATTTCATGCACTTATGCATTTACCATTTTACTTTCATTTTAAATATCATTTGTTATTCTAAATAATAAATTTGCATTTCATTTCAACTTAATTTTTTTTATTCATATTTTAGGTAAGGATAAAAATACGGAGATGCGGTTTTCACAGGATTGTTGAGCTCTTATTTGAATATCCAATGACCTTAAAAGTCATATCGTTGCATTTATTCTTTTTTCCACTCCATTCTGTAAAATACCTAATTATAGCCCCTTCGGACATTTCCGGGATTTTACCGCACGGGTTTTTGAGAAATCGGATGTTTTCGGAGATTTTACCGCATTTTTGTCATTTCTGACGGTCATATCAGGGAACATATTCGTTTTGTTTTGCAAAAATGTACCCAAAAAGAAAAAGAATAAAAAACATGTTTGGTAAACTTTTGAAGTCACTCGTTTATTAAACACTCGCTCCGCTCGTGCCAAATAAACTCGTGAATCAAATGTTGTTTACCACACTTCTTGCATAATATACTAATTATCTACTCCCTTCTGTAAAATACCTAATTATACACCGAAAGCGCCACTTTATCACGTGAGTTTCTTGTCCCAAGAATCTGTCCTGTCTGTCTTGCCCCTTCGGACATTTCCGGGACATTACCGCACGGGTTTTTGAGCAATCGGACGTTTTCTGAGATTTTACCGTACAGCTTGAATTTTGACGTTTGTCAATTCTGACGGTCATGTCGTGCCGTTTACCGCACTTGTTCTACTCTTTCCGGTAAAATACTTAATTATTCACCGATCTAGCGTGCGGGAAGCGTCACTTTACGACGTGAGTTTCACGGATCTGAGACACTTCGGGCATTGCATTGATATTACCGCACGGCTTGAATTTTGACGTTTGTCTGTTTTGACGGTCATGTCAGTAAATGCATTCGTATTATTTTGCAAAAATGTACGAAAAAAATAACGGTGGTACGAAAAGTATAATATGCAATAAGTTTGGTAATTTTTTTAAATCACCCGTTTATTAAGAACTTTTGATTCAAATGCCGTTTACCACCCTGGTTGTATAATATACTATTATACTATACTTTTTCTACGACCGTCAATTTTTACCATTTTTGTTAAAACCTCAAATTACCATAACCAGGATATTTGTTTACCTTAGTACCTTTTCAATGGCAAATTGTTTAAAAAATATCATTATTGTTGCAAAACGTGGTCGTTCTAATGATATCTGATTTTCTTTTTTTAAATACTTTCTCGTTGGATCGGGCGTGAATGTAAGGCAGTGAAAAATTTTCAGTTTCTGTCAAAAAATATGGAAAAGATTGGGAGTCGGTTTTATTTTAAAGTTAGAGCTCAACTATAACAGCTAAAGTATAAACTACCATCAAGTAATAAATATGCAGGAAATCAAACCCTGCATATTATGGCATTAATAGATGCTCCCTTTTATACTCCATCGCCCAAATATAAGGTTGTTGTGGTCTCTACCATACTATACATCGTTTTCGGATTAAAGGCCATTTTTTCGTCAAAAACGCTCTGTGTTTAATACCATATTCTATGGATGCCGTCTCCCACAGCTGCCATAGCCACTTAAAAAGTTTACCAAACGTGTTGCATACTATACATTTTCTACCACCGTCAATTTTTGGGTACATTTTTGCAGTACAATACAAAATTGACAAACATCAAAATTCAAGCCGTGCGGTAAAGTCGCGGAAATGTCAAAAGTGGCTCGGATCAGTGAGATACGAAACTCGTTGTGACGCTTTTCGCATGCTAGATTGGTGTATAATTAGGTATTTTTTATAAATAATTTGCCCATCATATATTATGCATTATACATATCAAGCTAATTTAGTTTATATGAATTTTATGTATGGTTCGTGAAGGTAAACTTAAAGATGATACACACTTTTCAGTAGTATCGGAACTTGTAATAAGTAATCCATATTAAAAAGTTTCCTTTCCTAGGACACTCAACCTTCCACATAATAATTTTATTTTTAATTTCAATTAACTTATTTTAAATGAGAATACGCATTGCCCGATGTATGCGGTATTTAATCAGTCCAAAATTAGCTTTTTATTAACTGATTACAGCCGCCGACGGGGAGGAACTGGCCAAAATTCAAAAAGTCCGCGTGTTGAGAAACGATAAACGCGAGGGTCTGATGAGGTCCAGAGTGAAAGGTGCCGACGCCGCGAAAGCTGCTGTCCTCACTTTCCTCGATAGCCATTGCGAGTGCAACGCGAATTGGCTCGAACCTCTTCTCGAAAGAGTTGCCGAGGTAAGAAAATTGTTCGCATAAACCCAAAGGGCTAATAAAAAGTATAAGATAGAGGGGAAGGCTCTCATTAGTGGCAATGTCAATAAGCGTACACGAGTTCAATAGAATTTAAAATTTGAAAGGTAAAATGTGAAAAAAAATTGTCGAAATAGTTGAAAATTATTGATATTTATTAAATTAATAAACATCTGAAAATACATAGTAATGATGATAATGATAAAAATGATTAATGATAGTCTTAAAATAATAAAACTATTATTGTAACAATAACAATAACACTAACAATAACAATATTGTAAAAATCAGCAAAAACACGCTTTTTTTAGTAAATCATTTGATATACCATAAAATTTATTCTATTTAAAAACATAATATAAAACTTGTTGTAAATAAAGTTCTGATAATAATAAAAGTTTTCTTAAAAGGCACCTATTGGTTATAATAATAAAATTTTTCAAAAAACATATTCCTTTACTAATCAGTGCTGAAACAGCTAAAAATCATTGCACTTAGTAATATGAAAAAAAATATTTTAATAAAAGAAATGAAGATACGAAAATGTGCTTTAACGTATATAAGAGTTTAAGAATTAAATAATACATATCAAAATATTTTTGCTTACACGACTACAGCAGATAACTAAAATATATATATTTTACTCAATCTTTTCCTTAATTTCTTTTTTATTGGTCCTCACTTTGGTTTGATTTTTTAATGGTATTCCATCCTCTATTTCTCCTCTTTGGTCGTCACTTTGCTTTGCTTTTTTCATTGGTATTTTTTCAGTAGTTGATTTTGCGAATTTAGACAATTTGCTGTTGTTTATTTTTTTGATGTTACAGTATCAGTCTTTTTGGGATCATGTCTGATGAATCGTGTTTTTATAAATATATTCAAAAATAATGTTGTAGCATCCCAGAAACATAATTGAAAGCTGGTAATTCTGAGGTCAGTTTTGAGTATAAATGAGCCGATATATTCAATTTTTGCGTATCCACGTTCTTGTTGAATGGCAACTCTTCTAATTCTGCGTTAGATTTAGGTTTTTCAGAATTAGTAAACAATGTAGGCATATTAGTATGCTTCTGTAAGACTGCCTCCACAGTATTGGAAAGTATTTCTGCTGCTTTAAAACTTCACTCGTCTGTATTACTACTTCTGGACTTTGTGGTCTCGTTAATTTTCCATATTTCTCGTTCGTCTTGAAATGAAAAATGAAAAAAATAGTGATGATGTAATAGATGGTGCTTCGTAAGATTCATGAACTTAATGTGTTTGTGATTAGTAGAAAAAAGTTAAACGAAATAGGATAGGAATTGGTTCTACAATCAAATAATTTTAATTGAAAATTTTGTCGAGTTTTATTTTGTTAAATTTTCCACCGGTATTCATGCGTACGAAGCTAAAATAAATTGCAATCATTGAATACTATTCAGTATTAATACGGTAAATTTGGATATCATAACGTTTCCGGGGATCGGTTACAATGGAATTCCAACAATGTTAAGTTATTTACAATTTTCCAATTTTATCATCTCATAATTTCAAGTTTGTGTCTAAATTTTAAGAAGCTATTTAAACAAAAATTCTAAAAAATAATATTTACAATTCGGATCAGACGTTTTTGAAAATTGAAAATAATATTTACAATTCGAATTTCAACATTTTTAAACCAATAGTAACTATATTTATCAATTATTTACAATTATTAATAACAGAATATTTCTGTTATAAATCTCACATTTTCTTTGGTATTGAAATAATAAAAATATGGGAAAATTGTAAGGCTGCTTATTACAATAGTCATAATTTTCAAATAACTATCTTCCAGTTGAATATCACTGAATTTCTTTGTGTATTTATCTCTGCATTTTATCTTCTTTTGGATTTATTTGATTTTCTATCGCCTCCCAGCTTTTTTTACTCGACACAAACGCAAAAGATTATGAATTTGAAATACAATTAAATGTTTTTCTTTGCCTGCATAGAAGTCATAGTTTTTAATGCGAGAAGAAGCACTTCTTACCTCTTAATGTAATTTTTACAAAGCTATTTGTTTCAATATTAATTAAAGCTGGTTAATTATCAGTAGCCTTGCGTACTTCTAAAGTAATGCCTTTGCCAATATGTGAGCATTCATCTATAATAACAATAACTTTATGGATATTAACAATACTTTACTAATACAAAAATTATCTATCTTTGAATTATTTTTAACGCAATACCTTCCAAAGCCGGGCATTCAAATATAACTTCGTCATTGTTGATGTTTACCAATGAATTTTTCGCAGTTGCACTTGTCAACGGAGGTTTTGGCATATTTTCGGGCATCTTCAAAATATTATCAGGCGGAAGTAAAGTGGGAACAGCATTTGGTACTAATAGTCGTTTGGGTGGTGTATTTTTCTTGATATAACGCCTTCCAAAATAATCGGAACAAATTCGGGGCATCTATACAATTCAATTTGTAAATCAATTGAAAACACTAATTTTATTAAACAAAATTTTTAATATTATGTCATCAAATTTAATTAAACAACATTTGACAAAAGCAAATTTATAGGACATAAATATTTACTAGTGTAGTAAAAAAAGTTGATCGATAATCAACAATTTATTTTTGAGGCGCTATAAATTTAAGAATGGTCTTTATCTTTTTCTGGTCTTCTTAGACATCCTTTCACATTACACTGAACCATGCTTTTTTAATTAATTTTAATTTTTTTTTATTAAAATATAAGTAAAGTTGCAGTTATCCGTTACAAGCTACTGTAGTTTTTTCAGTGTGACGCATTACTTTAAACCGCCCTGACAGTACTTTAGTACTTGGACATAAATATTAGATGGCATTCGTAACAGTATACAGGACCTTCCCTTCTATCTTATGCTCTTTGGGGCTAATGAAATGGTATATCGTTTATTAAAGGACCCGACAAGAGTCGTTTCACCGGTTATCGACGTTATAAGTATGGATAACTTTCAATACATCGGCGCGTCTGCCGATTTAAGAGGCGGCTTCGATTGGACGATGGTGTTCAAGTGGGAGTTTCTCAGTTACGCTGAGAGGGAGAGCCGAAAAAAGGATCCAACTCAAGTAAGAAATATTTCGGAAAGACATATTACGATACAACAAACAAAGATATGACAGATCGCCGTTTCAAATTTGTCTGGCCCACGCATGATGTCACGCCGAACTTAAAAATAGGCATCTGTTTACAATGCAATTGCTAAAATTTGTTAATTATTATAGGGAACTTGAACAAAATTTTAATTTTAAAAATATTGGTTATAAAAGTAAGTTTATACTATGAGGGCTGCCTTATGTTTGTTGGATTTTCTTAAACTGGGTCTGCCATCTGGCGACTAACGTTTTTATAGGGAAGTTTGACATTTCGAGGTTAGGTTGACTCAGTTAGGATTTGGCGAAAGAGTGTTGTTTGTGTTTTTTGTGATAAATTAAAAAAATTGTGACTGTTACAAATGGAACAGTGCTAGCTCTCACCGATCAGTGCAAACAGAACTTTTTTAACATTAAAAACGTAGATTCGATGAGCTATCCACCATATAGTCCTGATTTAACACCTAATGACCACACATTAAGAATAAATTACGTGGGCAACGATTTTTGACACAAGAAGAAGCAATTGATGCGTTTAAAAAGCATGTTTTGGACGTGCCCTACTCGATGCGGGAAAAGTGCTTTGATGATTGGTTTTATCGAATGAAAAAATGTATTGATCATCAGGGTAAATATTTTGATAAATAATAAAGTCATATTTGTTGGTGGCTTACAGTTTTTTTATTACAAATCCCGAAATATATAAGGTAGCCCTCGTATTAAAAAAACCACAGCTCACAAAAAAAATAATTTCGTAGTTCTATGTAACAAATATAAGCAATTAAAAATTGCAAAACATACCGTCATTGGTCGCATGCAGCGGACGTAGCAAAGCATTCCTGATACGTAGCGGTAATGATTCTGATTGGGAACGATGTTCGCTGTCATGCCATTTGCCGTTTTAGTTTTTGATATATGTTATTTTTGTTTGGGTGTTGTTGTTTTTGAGATTTAGATTTTTGTCGAAGCTATTTCTTATTCAGTGTTTGCGTGTAGTGCTGCTGATTTAAGAAGTGTTAATAAAGTGGAACCGTCTTTATACTCTAACATATACTACATCACAAATTAGTAGAAACGGAAGTTCTATTTCAGAAGTATTACGAAAAGACTATAAGGAGTTATGAAAATAATTTATTCTTAGAATATTTTCGAGGCCTACATTTGTAAACTTATTATAAGAGGTCTATTTTAGTATTTGCCACAACATCTAGCACGTTTCGGAGCAGCGAGACATCCGATAATATATTTAGAAGAGGTGCTAGAAGAGAAGCTAGCACACCGGAAGTGTATATTGTCGTTGAGGGTGAAAATGATAAGAGAAACCAAATAGTACCCTATGCTTTTATAACAAATGAAATATATTTAATTTGATTTGACATTTGCCAGCCTTTTTCGTAAATAAAATATTCCTCCCTTTGACTACCTAGTTTTGGAACTCTAAAATGAAAACATGGTTGTTTCTAATTTTTTAATTATAGCCATAAAAAAAATGTTGAAACTTAACATACGGGGTGGATACAACTGTTTCTCTGATTGGAGTGGTTCCATCCGCGGAGTCAGTGGGATAGCGGGTGGATCTTTCTTATTTTCTGCAAGGGACTCTAAGTCGTTTTTCCTTATAACAAGAACTGCTGTCAACGTTAATAGTTAACTGTTTTCTCCTCCCTATATAATTCATCAAACTGGTGATAATATTCCCAGTAAATTCTACCCCTTCCATTCTTCCGTATATTGTCTTTAATGCCTGTTTGTTTTTCAGGTTTCTTCATTTCCTATCCAATATTTCTTCCGTTTAGTGAATATAAATTCTGCCAATAACTTAAAATTGCATATCTATGTTGATATGAGTGTAATTTGTGTTTAAAGAAGTTTGTTCGACAAAAGACATACCTTGATACGATTTTCGAAAACTCGAGGGATTTTCGAGAAAACTTTCCCGTTAGGATCCTGATTTTTTTTTTGTAAAAACTAAGAATAATATAAATAATAACAAATAAAATATATTTATTATGCTGGAAATTCCGACTCGCCATCACTGTAAAATACACCTTCATCAAATTCACAACTTTCAAAAACCAAATTCTGCCATTACAGATCGTTACATATCGGCAGCTCTTTGCTATGTCCGCTGAATACCATTGTCTGTGCTCGGTTGTGACGTCAATTTGCACGTAAGTTTACGGGCCAGCCGGACGGTAGCATAAAGAAGCCATTAGACAACGATAAAGCTCATCTGGTTCATTTTGTGTTTTTTAAAAAGTCAGTCTGATAATTTACCTTTAGTGGATATGTTTATGGTGACACCTTACATACAAAACACCGAAAGTTTTTCTTTTGCTGAGGTTCGCAGTGTTAATGCTAAAAGGTATAGAAAATACGCTGAAAATGTATTCACTAGTTTTAAACCAATATAATATTGTAATTAGCTTAACGTTTTCTATTTTTTAAAATTCAAATGGTATAGGTACTAAATAAAATGTAAATTATTCAACAAAAACAAATATTGGGTTTTGAGTTTTCATTTTTGATATGCGTTATTTCTATACATAAACAAATATATTTACGAAATAAAAAAAATGTTCAACTTCCCTATTGTTTATGCATGATATGCAGAAAGATATTAAAAAATCTTTACGTTTTGCTTTATAAAATGTATTATAAGATTTATAATTCAATGTAAAAATAGGCGTGAGTTTTGATATTATAATAACGGATATCATTTTATTGAATATTAATAAAAAATCTAGGTGCTTTTAAGATGATCTATGAATGTTAAGGAAATTTGTTTTTTAAAATTATTTTAGAATAAATTACTATGTTTTTCTGTAATATTCTATCAATTAATTATAAATGTACAGTTTGAAATAGGAACAAAATGGGATTTATGAACAAGAGTCTTAAAGGTAAACACTTTTTTTACTACAATAGAGAGTTTATGGACTAAAATGAATGTTAGTAGTTATTACAAAAAGAAAAGTTAGCTGCATAAGGTTTTGAGTTAGATATATTTAACTTATGCTATTTTTGAAATACCTTTTTCTCTAAAACTTGATCCTGAAACTTAAATACTTTTATTTAAAAAAAAATCTAACATGAAGTACTCACAGCGCGTAAAGCTTTAGCATAATTTATGATTTTAATATATCGACCGTTTAAAGGCAGGATCTCGTAACTGACACACATCTAATTTTACAAGAGACCAAAAGAACTAGTTAATTATTTTAGAATTCTATTTGAAATAATTTTTTATCTTGAAACCACTATTTTAAATATACCTGTATCGGGCAAATACTCGTTTTTACACTAAGCTGGTCTACCCGTTTGCAAGCTATCACCCAACTCTTGAATGTTTTCGCCATTGGGGAACCGAAACAGCATGAAATCACTCGAAAAATGTTTTAACTCGTTATCTGTATTGCAACTTACCACAAAGAAGCACTGAAAATAACACAATGAGATTTGGTTAAGAATCCCGCCAAATCAAGCTCCGCGTGACGTTGTGACATTTCTCGGTGGCGCCACCTACGTGCGCAATGTCATATCTTTGTCGTACCATGAAAACTTATAGGTATGCATATTACGAGAGGTTTTTGTTTTAGGAGATTAGAACGCCCATGATTGCTGGCGGTTTATTCGTGATAAACAAGGCGTATTTCAATAGACTGGGAAAGTATGATATGCAGATGGACGTATGGGGAGCTGAAAATTTTGAAATATCATTCAGAGTGTGGCAGTGCGGTGGTACATTAGAAATTGTTCCTTGTAGTAGGGTGGGTTTCGGCAAGATATCCGATAAAACAATTTTAGAAAGAGAGTTTATTATAGGTGGGGCATGTATTTAGGAAAAAACATCCGTACACGTTTCCCGGGGGCAGCGGATCAGTTTTTGCAAAAAATACTCGACGAACCGCAGAAGTATGGATGGACGACTACAAAAACTATTATTACGCTGCTGTTCCGCTGGCCAAAAATGTACCTTATGGGGAGTAAGTAGTCGAACGTCCATTCCAATACTTAACAACCCGAAAATTCTGGGTGTGGTTGTTCTGCTAGTCGAATATTTAGCCATGATATCCTTCTATATACGAAAGCTGCAAAAAATCGTGGAAAATTAGATAAATTTTTAAAGCAATGAGGAGAGTGAAAACGACAACTTGAGTTTTTACAGTGACCATCTGGTGAAAATATGGATAACGGACAATTGACTCAGAGATTTTGAAAGTAGGAAACCAGATGTTGCATTAACTTCCTGTATTCGTGCTTTGTTGCGACAGTGTACTGTTGCGACGGTGTAATGTTCATAGCCCTTTTAGTTTTTAAGAGGTAGAGCTAAATTGAAATTATTGCATTTTCGGGCAGCCCTCGTATCTCATGCAAATCAATTCCGGTTTCGAAATTTATATACAGGGCCAGGTCTAAAAGTTATATCCATTATATTTACAGACTATAAAATTTTTATTTTTTTATCTTTTCAAAAATATAGAATCGTATGCGCTTTTTCTAAGAAGCATGCAAATAAATGACAATTTTCCAAAATAAATGCTCACTTTAATAGAAAGTCACGAACAACAATAATAAACAATTGAAAGTTAGATATTGTTAATGAATAATTAGATACCTTTTGAAGTTTTATAATACCAGTAAGTTTGCAAGTTTTGTAACAAAGTATAACAAAACAAAAAGAACTGCATTATTAAAACAAAGAAAGAAATATTTAAAGGTAATCTTCACATTGGCGACCATTTTCTCTAATGCAAAATTGACACATTTTTATAATCCTTTGGATAGCGTTAAAAAGAATCACTCATATTAGTTCTGAAAAAACTCAAAGATTTCTAGGTATCTACCTGTTATCAGATCTCCTTCAAAAGTCATATAAATTATAGTCTGCCCAAAATAAAACACCTCAACTCACCGAATTCAACTAAAAATGCGCCCGCATTTTGGAAAAAGCATCTGACCAGATAACTGCCAGTCTGCCAAGTAAATAATTAGCAACGATTTGTTGCAAATGTTGCGTTATATTTAATTGGTATGGATATATATTTGAATTGAATTCGAATGTGTTGCTTCGGAAGCTGCTTCAGAATTTTCATTACTCTGTATATAAACATACCGGCATATCATATAGCTGCCGTTATTAAAAAATCGTTGAAAATATTTCACATTTGCTTTTATTTGTTGCCATTGCCTGCATTTAATTTTCGAGATTTGTCATTTAGTTGCTTCTTCTTGAGATAAAGTGCATACTATTTTTTAAAAAGGTAAAAAAAAAATAAGTGGGGTAAGATAAATTTTCAACCTGGACCTAAACAATAATTCATTCACTTTGCGAGGGCTATCCAGAAATGCAATAATTTCAGTTTAGCTCTGTATCTTAAAAACTATAAGGGCTATGAAAGTATCTTTAGTTTCACGAAAAAGTAGTATCTATAAGAATAATGGAGATAACTTTCAAAAGACACCCTGTACATCGCAACGCGAAAATCTTTGACAAATATGGTCGTGAATCCAATAGTCTGCGTAAATTATGTTTCTATATCTGTATATAGCTGGTTGCCGATTTTCTAATGCATTTTCATCTGGTGTATGCCAAAATGGTGTCAGCGTTAGTTTTAGTTTTAAAAAAATCTATATGTTATATATTATTAAAAAGAAAAAAAAACATGGAAAAGCATCTTGACTTTCTGTCATGACGTTTCGAAAATAGGGTTATCAAATTCTGTCTAATTTTTGCTTTATTTTTTGGTCCTCAACGTATAGAATACTGGAGAAAATTGATAAAAGTGACCCATTCGCCTTAATTCAGAAAATACTGTTGAAAAGTGTCCCAAGAATATACAGGACAATAACTAACAGACTAGGACCATAGTCACTTCAATTGGATTGAATTTGACAAACACCAGAAATTTGGCAACGTTTTTCTCTGACAACACAGTACCTCCTCTGTTGTCAAGATGCTTTTCCATCTGTTTTTCAAAATTAAGTAGCTCTTGTCATTTTTCATATGGATTATTATTATTGCTCTGCATTTTTTAAGCAGCACATATTGACCCTATTGGACAGCGCTGATTGCTCATGATCCTTTTTGCTTACTGTTTACTGTACGGTTACTGTGGTGAAGTAACAATAACGTTTCTTCCAGTGTTAGCGAACGTTTAAATCTTCGTCGAAAACTTCAGTGTAAGCCATTCAAGTGGTACCTCGACAATATATATCCCGAACTTGCCGTACCGTCGACGGTTCCGCGTCCCGGCGAGATCAGACAGGGCTCGTTTTGTCTGGACACCTTGGGACACATATTGGACGGGGGAGTTGGAATTTACCAGTGCCATCATAGTGCCGGAAATCAGGATTGGGTTCTAACTGATAGCGGACTCCTCAAACACCAAGACCTTTGTCTTACACTAATCAATTTAGTTAAAAGCTCAGAACCGGTTATGAGGATATGCGAAGGGTCAGATTTCCAAAGGTGGCAACTTATTCAGCCGGGCGGTCTGATACGACACGCGAAATACCCCTTGTGTTTGGACACGAGGGACAATGACATTAGGGGTGTGACTGTTGAAAGATGTAACAGTGCTATAGAAACTCAACGGTGGCAGTTAGCGACAATTTAGTTAGTAAGACTAATAGGATGTTCAAATTGCGGGAAACTACGCACTATGTACGATTGAGACTTGCTGTCCAGTGATTATTGGTAGTTACCAGATTAAATTATTTATACTCTTATATTTGTTTTAAGATGCTATAAGATTCATTAGCTAAATCGATGAGGTGTTTTGAAATTGGCAATAAATCAACTATTTAGGTACAAAACTATACTGCAGTGGACCATTTGAAATGGAAGCAAAATAGTATAAAATTAATAAAATAGTAACTTTATTACAAGTTTATACTGATTTTTTATGCATTAATAACAAAACGGTTTATATTTATTTATTTTTATATTGACATTTCATTAACGAACTAATTTCAACAAAGTATACCTTCAATTGTCAGAGACACTGAAAATACTTCAGTCACTTATAAAATTCAGGCAGATAGTCTTCAGTTTATTAGTAATAAAATTTTGATTTTTAAAATTGAACTTGGTTAAGCAATGCACATTTTAAGCTCCCAATTGAAGTGGAACACACTGCATGTATCAGCCAATAAGGACAAAGTACCCATACCGCCCTAAATTTTGACATTGTAGTTTCCATCTGAAAAATCATAGATTAAATTAAAACAGGGGAAAACATTTTCAGTAAGAAAGATTTCATATACTTTTTTTGTAATAAATTTTTAAATATTTCTCAAGATATCTATTTAGCGACATACGAATCTCTAGGAGAACTGACATAATATAAATAAATAATTTGGAGTCAAAAGGCACAGAACAGATCAGTATACTTAGCACTCATTGACTTGAAAAAGGTCTGATACGGTGCCCAGGATAGAACTATGGTAGGCTATGGCAAAACACTGGCATAAAATCAATATACACATAAAAGTAGGCAACAGCATAGTCGGTAGTTTCACAATGTCAAAGGGGCTGATACAAGGATGCCCCACTTCACCAACACAATGTAAATGTGAAGGAATGAATACCTTTACACAGTTTGTTTCGCGGAAGACCAGGTAGTAATAGCCCAAAATGGAGAAGACCTCAGTTGCATCGTCAGGAAGTTAAAGGAAGAATATGAGAAGGTAGGATTGGAAATAAACTTGAAGAATACAATTTACATGAAAATGACGGAAGAGAATGCAGTTTATTTCCCAATAGAGGGTACCATTGCAATAAAAAAAGCAAACAACTTCAGATTAGGATTTACACCGTCTAAAAAAAAATGGTACTACAGAGGAAGAAAGAAAGTATAGACTTAGGCAGACGCCATCCATCCAATTATTAGAACTCCATTCTGTTATATGGGACATGAATCTCAAGAAAAAAACGAAAACATTAATATAGGAAACAATGGTAAAGAGTATAATGACATATGCAGCAGAGGTGCGGATAATAAAAAAAAATGAAATCAGAGCTAGTCCGTTTCACTGTAAATTTATCTCGTGATACATTTTAATTGCTACAACAAAACTTTAATTCATTAACTAGACGTCCTCTGTTAACCAAAGTAGATTGTGATGAGATTGAATAGCAAAATAATAATTTATTGTACGCACAGTTCAAAATAAAATTATTAATGACTGAACTGAAACATAATTGGTTCATACTTGCAATATGAAAAATTTAGACACAAAAGCGCTTGAAAACATTTCACACGCAGAATCTTGTGATTGTTGAAATATTAAAAAATATCAAAGCATTATAATTCTTATTTTCTGGAATCATAGAAAAAGTGTGATACCATTGTAGACATTTAATCTTTAATTCTTCCTGAAGGGCACTAAACAATACAGGATACTTCACACTATTTTTCTTGGTTACTTAAGGTAATTAAAATAATTTATAATAATTTGTATCCTAGACCGAATTTATTGAATTGATTCGGCTTCTAGATTTCTCAAAACTTTAAAGTTTTATATTTAAAAATGTGATAAAAGTTGATGCCATGCCATACTAAACAAAACTAAAAAAAAATAGCGATAACTCGCAAACTAGCAGGATACAAGGTTTCTTTTGTTCGAAGTGAATTCCCTTACCTGAAGTTTTAGTTTCATCCATGATTTTTAGGGTACCTTGTATTACGCACTCGATGTGTGTAATACAAGGTTGACCGTTGTATTATATATGAGAATTTACGCACGTGTAGATTGTTGTAGATATATTTTATATGTAAAATTTGATATTATGTAATTTAAAACTTGATAAAACATGTCCTGTAGCTAATAGGCCAGTATACTTAACGATTTTAATTTGTGAAGCACACACTTACAATGTTTTATTTTATGTTTTAATTTACAATGAATCTCGAAATAAAATCTTTTGACGTGGCTTATGTGCAAAACAGTGCTCAGTGTATAATTATACATTGAGGGGATGTTTTGTCAATGCTTATTGCATCCCTAGCAACGCCCATCAACGAAATGTAACATGTCAAAACCGACCAGCATTAAGGATGCAATAAAAAAATGGGAAGAAAAGCACCCAAATGAGCACATCGGCGAGGCTATCAAGGTGGGTTTTCAGTTTCAGTGGCCGCCAATCGAAAAAATGGACAATTCCCTGTCGGCGCTAGTAAAGTGCCAAAAATTAAGCCTGTCGACGAATATGATTGAAAAAATAGCCGGTATAAGCGCTCTAAAGAACCTTAAGATATTGTCTTTGGGTAGGAATTATATAAAATCTTTTTCCGGTTTGGAGGGAGTCGCAGACACGCTGGAGGAGTTGTGGATCTCTTATAATTTCATTGAGAAAGTAAAGGGCGTGCAGGTGTTGAAAAAGCTTAAAGTTTTGTATATCGGCAACAATTTAATAAAAGAATGGGGGGAATTTGTAAAATTTCAAGAGCTACCCATGCTGGAAGACTTAATGTTTGTCGGCAATCCTTTGTATGATGGTATGGAGGAGGCAATCTGGAAAATTGAGGCCACTAAAAGGCTGCCCAATTTAAAAAAGTTGGATGGGGAGCCCGTAGTAAGAGAAGACGACAATTAGATAACTTTATTAATAAAACATTGAAAGTGTGACATTATAGTTTAATTTAATGATTAAAAATGCTAAGCAACAGTGTGATATGCACATTTACAAAAAATAAACATTCCATTTAAATTGTATCAGATTTTGTAAAAAAACTCACTGTTTTTTTGTAGTACACATTCAACAATAATAAATAATGTTATGGTATCTACATATTTAATATATTTTTATTTTTTACTTTTGCCTTAAAAAAACTACTGAATAAACACTTTTACTACTTTCACTAGAGAACCATCCATAATTTACAATTCACATTAGGCCTGATGTTTGAATTGAATAAATTATTAAATTAAAATGACCTCCAATGAGGGACCCAATTTATGGATGGTCCAAACCATTTAATAAGAAATTACAAATCTGTACTTAGATATCTGTATAATCAGTTGCAAATGTTAAGTCAATTATAAAATGAAAATTTTAATTTAGCATTTAATTTTTGCTTTTCCTAAAAATGGTCTGAAATAAAATTTTAAGAAGTATTTCAACTATTCATTTCCAGTTTCCACATGGAGAACCACAATCACAAGTACAGTAAAACATAGATACTAACTTATCCTTTTTCTTTGTTTTGTATTTTGTTTATCAAATGTTCTTTCCATTTTTCCTCTGGAATATTCTTGGCCCACTCAGGAACCGCAGTCGGGGGCAGCAAGACACTTTGCATAACCTGTTTTACTTCATCAATTTTTGAATCGCTGAGTTCAATGTCGGACTCCTTTGGTGGAGGATATGACCAAACATCCCGGCTTACACTCACTCCTGCAGGTTCTATAGCAGACAAGGAATATGGCTCAGGGAGCTGAATAGTCCCCAGTTCAATATCTGATGCATCTGCAGAATTATTTATTGCTTTAGCAATACTTTAAAAAATATTACATGAACTTACCGCTATTCGTTTGTTCCTCATCGCTGATTGAATCGCAAGGAATTGGCATGTAATTTCCGATATCAAACTCATGTTCAGCTTCAGTTTCCGAATCCGTCTCTTCCTCCGAAGGGATGGTTAGGGAGTTGTTTGGGGCAACTTCGTCGTTTCCATTTGGCGAATTTTCTAGTCCTGTGTTATTTTTCCCCATGGTGAAAAGCAAACGACGCAAAACACCAAGAAACTTGGTAACTAAAAATTTTGAGTTCAATATAAATGCAACGGGCAATACTGCCTCGATATTCGCAATACGGAATGAGCTATGAAAACAAAATAACTGTCATTTCATATAGATGTAATCCAATGCTGCGCGACATCTAGCAAGCGAATTCGAAACTTCTGAAAACGTTAAAGAAATCTGCTTCTCCAATTTCATCTGGAGAAAAATGAAGAACAAGCGGCGGTATGTAAAGTTATACTGGATTAAAGATGGCATAGCAGTAGACAAAACGAGAAAAATGTAATGATAAAAACTTATTCTCATGTTGTGAGTTGAAACTTTGAACTTAAGCAGTTTTATTTATTAGCTATGCAATTAGTCTTCAAAACGGGAAAACTATTTAATGTAAATGCGTATAGCTACTAGAGATATAGAGACCCTGCTTATGACGATAATTCAGGATGTTATGAGGCAACTACGAACTTTTTGTTGATAAGGCCTTTCAACATGCGCATGCACCAGATTTAAAATGTCGTTTTTAACCAATGACCTTGCGGCATTCAACCACCAACATGGCCGCTGACAGATCGCCAATAAGTTTGCGTGCAGCATTTTTACGGCAGTATTTTCTGAAAATATGCCTAGATGTCTTTAAATGTTCTGGGAAAACGAGTTCAGTGTGGGGAAATGCTGCTTAGAAAGAAAACTGTGCAAAGTGCAGGTTAGTGATTGAAATGTACATGCATGCGCGGAAAATCATTAGCTTCTCTACCGTAGTAGAGCTACTATATTGTCTGTTACGTATATAAGCTTTAGAAAAACTCTAAATTGAAACCACAAACTACAACGACATATACATGCTACATAAATTTTCTCTTCTCTAGGTCGAAGTTGTTTCCATTTCTGAATGATATATTCGTTTCAGTCGCGCCGTATCTATACTTCCTGTCCAAAACGTCCACTGCGTGCGGACAGCCAGATGGGGGTTACCCGAAAGTTTAATAAATTGTTAAATTAGCCTTATTTCCATTTCGTGATATGTTAAATGAGATAAAGCCTGTATACGCCGAGCAAACGATAAAAAATGAGACGACGCACACAAAGCTGACTTGACAACAAAACAAAACGTCGGGGAAAAAATATGTGTCTATTTATATTGAATAGCGGCACAATAGTCTGCTACTTTTATACGATTTTTGAAACATTAATTTTACGGACTGTGTATGTCGACGATTTTTCCTCTCCGAATTTTGGGTGGAACAAAAATTTGGGAATTGATTAATGTTTGGGGAGATATTAAAGTGCGTCCCTGGCTGGGCGTCGATAGGTTGCATTTGATGCATCCCAAGAAGATTTTACAATTTAGTGTTTTTCTCATAAATTGCTTCGTGATGAAAGTTTAGTACATCTACATCTTATTCTCGAACTTAGCATTCACATTATTAGAAACAAACACTGGTTTTTATTAAATGGCGAAACAAGTAATTACAATACCCGCAATTGTGATAATTTTAGAGGCTTCTGTAATCGTTTAGACTGTGAACAGAGTCTCCTGGCTCGATGGGAATAAATACGTCGTTTTTTTCCTTTAAATTAGAAAAAGAAATTGTTTGACTTTTAAAGTGGTCATAGAATTTTAAATTCTCTGGTGAAGTTTTGAAATAAATATAATATGAAAAGATTTACTTTGCGGCCATTTTTGTAAAACTTTAAGGATTCTTTTCCGGCTATTATTATTAACCAGTTATCCTACAATTGTAAAAATAACACATTGACACTAATAAAATGCTTCCCAATGAAAGTATATAATTTTTTGAATGTGGTCTTTTGTGAGTGAGATGGGGGTCTCGAAACATCTTATATAGAACATACGAAGAGAACACAGCACACATACAAATAGAAGGGGAACTCTCTTCAGGTTTCAACAGGCGTCAATCCTCTTTAACATATAGGGGGAATGGATTATTAGAAAAGTCCTGGAAGACTGGGAGGGCGGAAACTCCATTGGGGTCCCAGACCCTACGACAACGTGTGGAAACTGCTAGTCTGCCTACGACTGAATAGGACCAAATGTTGTTTGTTGATAGCTTAGACAATCTCAATGCCTCCTCGATACATCCACGATATAGAAACCAGCGACACTGTTATCTATCTTGCCGTTAAAATAACCAATAAAGGAGGCTTCGAGCCAGAAATCAAGAGGATAACTCAATATTCGAGATCTTGAAAGGCTACTAACAACAATTCAGCGCAGCATGCTCAAAAAATACGGATGGAGAAAATTATGATCCAGGGAAAATTCAAGGATTATAGAAATATATCAGTAGTAGAAATCAGGAGAACCGTAGAGGATAGAGAAGCATATGGCATGTACCATGAATAAGTCGCGACGATCGAAATGGAGCAACGACTGGACAGAGAGGAAAAAAATATATCTTATATTATAATTTTGTATAATAACAGAGGAAATAACTTAACAACAAAAAAGTTAAAACAAAGCCAGAATAGGGCCCTGAGGAGTATGCTCGGCTTGAAACAGAATTAGTCATCTACAACTCACCTCACCTCACTCAAAAACTGGCAATTGTAGGCTTTTGTCGGTATTTTTATTCTCGAACGTAGTATTCGCATTTTTAGAAGTAAACATTGGTTTGGGAATAAAAATATTTAATACACTGAATTAAAAAACCAAGTAATAAATAGTTTTAAAATCATTATTATCATTTCTAATAAATGACTGTTTTTATAATTTTACTGATCCTTTTAATTTATGTAAAACATCATGTGTGTAAATAAAATCTTGTTTACCTATCTTTATACCTACCTCATTAGGCTCAGTGTTGTTTTGCCATATTTGAATTTTTCCATAAATTGTAATGTAATAATTTTAGTATGACAAATAAGATGACGTATTCCATAAGGTATGTCGAAAGATAAAATAAATTGTGTGCCTTTTAAAGAGATATTAAATTTTCAATTCTCTAATTTACTAACGACTAAACTAAAATACGGGATTTATCACAAAATATTGCAATTTGTCTGAACTTTATGATATAACTTTTAAGTTTTCCACCCTGTTTAATAATTGTCTGTCATTGCAAATTGTCATTTTATTACTCTCTCTCATTTAATTTTCTAAACCACTTGTATATACCAGACGTTAACGAATCTATTGTCCCCAGCGGTATTTCAAAATGGCTTGAGATAAAAATATGCAATTTGGTAAGTCGACAGGGTTAAAGATTGCACACTTTTGTAGCATAAAAATAATCGAATGTCGTTTGTAATTCAGTTAACTTTGATCAATTTACTGCACGAAAACAGTCTGACTTACAAGACTGAAACCGCCAATGGGCAACTTTTTTATCCCCCAAAATTGAAAAGAAGATCCTTTCTTTACCTTAGTCATAACCTTTTGCAAGAAAATCGGTAACATAGTATTACACTAGTCGGATAGTTGCCTCTGGATTCAAAACAAATAAACGACAATCTAAATTTTTGAGTCTTTGAATTATAGAAACCTAGTCCTCTTATAACTCTTAGATTTGTGGCATATTTTTCGACATAAAGTATGTTAAATAAAAACTTGTTAAATTGTTAAACGTGTTCAAAAAATGAAAAATATGCAGGGATTTCAATTTAAAAATTTCAAAAAAAAAGTTTGGATTATTTCAATTCAATTAATTATTTATTTGAATTGAATTATTTTTATGCTACAAATTTTCACGGTATTCAATCCTATCAATATATCAAATTGCATATTTTCGTTGTCACCCGGTATAGCAAGCTCTAAACTTCGAGTAGACATTTTAAGTTTCCTACGTCCCAGCTTATCAGACGACTTTAAAACGGCACTAACCGAAATATTATGTAGCCAAAAGAGGCTACTTTATGCAATGCTGTTTTAAATAATACGTTGCCCTCAGTACCGTTACATCTTCATACAACTTAATAGAGTCTGGCTGAACTCCAGACTCGCTTAAAACATTCTCGTCACGATCACGGGGGTCAAAGGATCGGCCCTTTTCCCTCAAAGAAATTTATCGGAGCAAACGTTATTATATTGAGAGGTAAATTAAAACAAATTTATGGTGATATTGGGGTTTATGTACACCGAAAGGGTCTTAAACTCCAGATTTTGACAGTACATGTGTCCGACGCATCTACTGAATGAATATTAAATGATAAACAGTGAAAAGCTAATTTAAGTTATCTAAGTAAATAGTACAGGGTTTCCATTTATATGTTGTTAGAGTTTATTCAAGGGGTTCAGCGATATCAATGTTGTCAAGAAATGATGGAAGTATTCATGATTATAGGCATTTTTTGAACAAAATTATTTTTACTGATGAAGCGACTTTCACTACTGTTAAGCATTATGGGGCCATTGAGAATCCCCGCAAGCAATAAACCCCAAATATCTTCATCTTCCATTATGTTACTAACCAAAACTGTTCTACCTTGCATTTTGAATTTATCAGCGCTGGAAAATTTAATTCAGCTGCCAGTTACATTCGCGATACTATATAGATTCAAGCAAGATTTGAACTCTTTCATAATTTTCTTTTAGTTGTATTGAGATTTATATCCGTTGTGTAATAAAACGACTTTTAACATACCATTATCATCAACAAGCAAATTCCATTGTTTTAAGTGAGAGCCCAAAAGCTCTGCTTTATTTTTTTAGCAAATTTAAAACTCTTATCAATAGGTAAATCTCCTTATCAGAATTACTTTTATTAGAACTGAGAGATGAGCCGATTTGGTGCGATTTTTTCGGTGACTCAGGTACTGGTCGTATCAGGTCGAACATTCAAGAGAAGGATTTTTACCTTTACCTCTCTTACTTGGATTCACAATGCAAAAGTAGCAGTCATTGACTTGGTCTTTTGGTAATCGCCAGGTCCTTGGTATTCTTACTCCGATACCTTCTAAATAACTTTTTCTACTCCCGTCTGTAAAATGCCTAATTACCCACCGATCTAGCGTGCGGGAAGCGTCATTTTACCACGTCAATTTCGCTTCCCATGAATCCGAGTTTGGGAGCAATCGGATGTTTTCGGAGATATTTCCCACGCTGAATGTATTCGTGTTGTTTTGCGAAAATGTACA